GCGGGGCTGTGGCAGGATCCCTTGCGTGCCAGGCCAGCCCCACTGAGCAGGTAGGGCAGGCGGCCCTTCGGGGAACATCCAGCCCCTTCCCACCTGCCGGCTCATCAGACGCCTCCCCAGGCCGCCAAGTGGGAAGCCGGTGATGTCATCGCCCAGCCCCAACAATCAGGCCTTTCATGGCCGGACGATAACAATCACAACAGTATGTCAGGGCCTGCCATGCAGGAACGCACACGCTCGTCCGCAGGGAGGATCTGAAGGCAGTGAGCGGGGCCGCCGGGAGCGCGCCGTCTCCTTCCGAGATCCCCTGGCCGAGAACATAGCCCGGAGAGCAGGCTTGCGTGCATGGGCGCTCACTCGCCCGTTCTCTGAGAAACCAGGATGCTGTCCAGCACCTCCCCCCGGGACTCCTCACCTCCGACCCCAGAACTAACTCTGCACGGAGCAATACTCCGCGGCTGGGGTCCGAGCAGGAGTGTCTCGTTGCACAACTCCAGGGGGCGCTGTTCGCCAACAGAACGTGCAAGGTGCCCAGAGTGCGCAGCCCTGGGGTTCTGAGGCTGCCGCCTTCAGAGTGAGGGAGCAGACTGTTGTGTCGACCTCGACCCCCAGGACTCAGTCTTGCCACAGCCAGGCTCCCTGGCCGGCCCAGCTCCACGGAGCCTAGAAATTCTCGGTGAGATGCATGAGCGCGATGTTTTCCTTGCCCGGAGTGAAGTTTCTGGTGTTCAGATGTTTGCCCCGGAAGCAAAGCCACCTACACTGTTGCTTAGTCTGGCGGGTGGTTCTCCGCCAGGGACGGTTGGACCCCAGGAGACCTTGTGGGTCGTGTCCGCTGGAAGGAGGCTACCGGCATCTAGTGGGTGGAGCCGGGGATGCTGCTAATGGTCCTGCTGTGCAGTGGGCAGGCCCCATGACAGAGTGACGGGGCCAGAATGCCAGCAGTGCCAGGTGGAGAGGCCCTGCGAAGGGGAGATGCCCAGCCCCGTTGGCCCTGGGGCCTCTGGTGCCCATTCTCCCTTCCGGCTCTCCTTCCCCCAGGGGCCAGGCCCTCGGCTCACTAGCTGAGCGGGCCTAAGGCAGTGCTGCCTGTCCGCGGGGGATGGGAGCCCAGGTAACCGTAGAGACGGCGTGATGGCTCTGTGTGAAGTCTGGAGGAACCGAAGCGTAGAGTCGTGATTAAGAGTCCCCACGGTCACTTCATGGCTGGGTGACCTTGGGATGAGTCACTTAACCGCCCCGTGCGTCACCTTTCCCATCTGTAAAATGGGGGTAATAGTGGCAGAAAACGCGTAAGGAGCAGGAGGGGGCCAAGCTTGTCGCCACACATAACATGGGTAGGATATTCATTTTTTTTTCTTCTTCTTTTTTTTAATATATATTTTATTGATTTTTTACAGAGAGGAAGGGAGAGGGATAGAGAGTTAGAAACATCGATCAGCTGCCTCCTGCATCCCCCCACCCCCCCGCACTGGGGATGTGCCCTCAACCAAGGCACATGCCCCTGACCGGAATCAAACCTGGGACCCTTCAGTCCACAGGCCGCCTCTCCATCCACTGAGCCAAACTGGTCAGGGCCGTAGGACCTTCTTTACAAGCATCTGCGTAGCTTCCAGGATCGTGCGAACATCCTCTGTGGCAAATTAGAATTCTGGCCCAAGGTCGCCTCTGCCATGTCCCGGGCTCCTGGGTGCTCCCAGGGGTGACCAAGTCATCCAGTGGGCCCGGGACTTTCTGGGGCTCACCACTGAACGCCCAGTATCCCGGGCAAACCTGGGCAGTCGGGCACCCCAGTTCCCATCACAAAATTCAAGCAGCACTCTGGGACTTTTAAGTTTATTTCCTGGGGTGGCAGGGAAGGGGTCCTGAGTTGGAGCAGGTGCAGCACCATCCACATCCTCACCCCTTGGTGACCTCTTCAGTCCCTGGTGACTGGAGTGTGTAGCCAGGGCTGGGAGCTTTGGGTTTAATTCATGGTCCGGAGTTGATGCCAGTGGGATGGGGCACAGAGGGTGTGGGGGTCACTGAGCCTTTCCAGGGGGTCACCCCTAACAGATGCACAGCATGGAGCAGAGCAAGGGGCCCCGGTGAGTGTGTGAGTGTGTGAGTGTGTGTGTGTGTGTGTGTGTGTGTGTGTGTGTGTATGTATGCGTATGTATGCGTGTATGTTAAGGGATATCTATGAAGGTTGAGAGGATGGAAAAGCCATGGTCTAGCCCTCGCTGTCGCGGTTGGTGGAGCCAGGAGCCCCCAGAAAAGAGTCATGACCACCCAGTGAGACAGCACCCTCAGAGCGGCCTGGCAGCATCCCAAGGGCGGGCCCTGGCTGGGCTGTGCGCCCCATGCCGGCGCTGGGGCAGGGCAGGGCAGCCAGGCGTGCCCGGGACAGAAGAATGGCGTTTCTGTGCTGCTTATCAGGATGGTGGCTCCGGCAGGATGTGGCGAGGCTTCCCCAGCCCGCCAGGCGGACGGCCGCAGCCAGCGCCCCGTCCTGGCGAGGACTTTGGCCGGGGAGCCCCACCTTGACTTGCTGGTGACATTGGGCTGGCGGCTCTCCAAGGTCAGGCTGTGGTAAGTCATGAGGACATGAAGGCAGGTGACGGCCATGGACAGCGAGCCACCAAGTGCTCTTTCCACACGGCGACGACGAGGCCCCAGATCTGGTCAGACCCCTGGACCTTGCTCATGGGAAGACCCTCCTGGGGTCGCCGGTCCCATCTGGTCAGATCTTTGTGCAGCTGCTGAGATATGAGGGCAGAGACCAGCAACCACAGCCTGCGGGCCTACTCCGCCCACCACCTGGTTTTGTAAATAAAGTTTTATTGGGACACAGCCCTACTCGCTCACTTATGTACTGGCTGCTCTCCCACTGCAAGGGCAGAGCTGAGTAGTAGCCACAGACACCTGGTGGCCCTCAGAGCCTAAAATCCTCAGTCGTTTCCTGTGAGGTGGCTCATGGGTCGTGGGGGAGGTCAGAGCCTGCCTGAGCCCCTCCTCCCTCAGAAATAAATGGAGAGAGCCCGGGTTGTGTGGCTCAGTGGTTGAGCATCAACCTATGAACCAGGAAGTCACGGTTCAATCCCTGGTCAGGACACATGCCCGGGTTGTGGACTTGATCCCCAATGTGGAGCCTGTAGGAGGCAGCCCATCAATGATTCTCTCTCATCATTGATGTTTCTCTCTCCCCCACAACCCCTTCTTCTCTGAAATCAATAACAATATATTTAAGAATAAAGAGAAGAAGTAAACAGAGAGAGCTGCCTGAGATAAGGGGGTGGGATCCCAGGGAGCCGGGGGAGAGGCCAGCAGATGGTGACATAGCCAGGGCCCTTCTGGGACATGCCATGGGCCACACGATCAGGTGTCCTCAGGGCGTGACCTGCTGTCCCCAGGACACCAGAAGTTTTCTTTTTTAGAGAACGAGTAATAACACCGCAGACGCCATCACTCTGATGGGCAGGTGCTGAGGGGAAGCTGAGACTGTCAGCAGGAGACGGGATGAGAGTTATTTTGAACGGCGTGCAAGCTCCGTGTTTATCAGGCCAAGGCTCTGCGAGGGCCAGTCTTTCCTCAGTGTCTCCTCGCCTGGCGGGCGGCCCCCAGGTCAGAGAGTCTCTTAGGAAAACATTGACCCCCAGAGCCTCCGTGTGTGTGTGTGTGTGTGTGTGTGTGTGTGTGTGTGTGTGTGTCTGGGGCTCTGAGCCCTGTCAAATGTGTGCATGGGCTGAGGTACAAGCCCAAATATAAAAAGGTTAAACTCTGAGGATAGTCCCCCATGTTCTTTGCTGGGGAGCAGAACAGGGGACCGTGGCCAGAGCCGGCCTAACGGGACCGTCCAGGCAGCCAGGGCGTCCCCGTTCCGGGAGCCTGGCGGGTGAGCGGGCAGGAGGAAGGGGGAGTATCCCCTTGTCGCTGAGCTGGTGGGTGGATCCCTGTTGGCAACAGAGGGACAGACGTGAGCAAATGGGCCGGAAAGACAAGTGACAGTGGATGGAGCTTCCTTTTCTCTCTAATCCTCCCCCCACCCTCCGGGCCACGTGCCCAGCATTGCCTGCCAAGTGGCGCCCCTTCTCTCGCCCGGGAGATCTGTGGTGATCTGACGGGTGCTCCGTGGAGGGGCTGCCCACGGACGTGTCCAGCCCGGGTCGCTCAGGCACCGCCCTCCCACTGTGTTCAGGCCGATGCTTGGCTTTCTCTGAGAGTTTCCTGGCTGTCACTCGCCGGAGGCGGGCTCTTCATCCAGGCACGCGCCTCTCCCCCGGGGGTCGCACGCTGCATTTGCTCCCGTCCGTCTCGTTCTGGGGCTTTCTCCCTCTGCACTCGGATGCCTGGTCTGCGCAGGAAGCCGGCTCTCAAGGCCTGGCTCCGACCAGCTGACCAACTTGCGCAGCACTGTGTCCTGCAGAGGCAGGAGCAGAGAGGACCGTGGGGAGCATCACCGGGGCCCGAGGAAGCGCCGTGCCAGGTCCGGACCCGCCCGGGAGTCCGTGGAGAAGCCGAGCCCAGACCCAGGCGATCAGGGCCACTGTCCGATTCTGCATCGGACTCTTGTCCCACTTCTGAAGTTGCTTCTCGATAAAATGTGATCGATCCACCCCCATGCCCTCGGGGAGAGGAGACCAAAGCGTGCTGGCACCTCCGGGTGCTGGGAACCCCAGAGGCCTTCATCAGGCTGCTGGGCCACAGCGACCATCATGGGAGATGCTGTGGCCCCAGGTGGCTTCTGCCACGTGACAGACAAACCGAGCTGGGAAAGTTGGATGATGTGTGCAGAGCCGTACAGTTACGTGGCGGAGCTGGGGCCGTCCTAACACCCGGGCAGCATGGAGGGGTGGCGTATCCATGCACCCCCTCCCTCGCCTGTGCCCCCCTCCGGCCCCGTGCCCTAACCTTCCTCCTTCCTCCGCTGCCCAGCCCTCACCTGGGTCGCTGACACCGGAGGATGCCCTGGGCCCGGGCGGTTCCGGACGCCCCCTTCATGGGTCTTCTTGGTCTTTCAGGAACTTGGCCATTGGAATCGGGATCCAGAACTTCCCAGAGGGCCTGGCGGTCAGCCTCCCCTTGCGCGGGGCTGGCTTCTCCACCTGGAGGGCCTTCTGGTAAGTGCGTCCGAGCGCCCGTCCCAGGCCGGGGTCATGGCCGCTACGGCCAAGGCAGAGATCCGGGCCGTGCCCTGTGCTGCTTCTTTCTGCCAGGCGGCCCCTCTGACCTGGAAGCGAATCGGGCGCTTCTGGTAAAACCCGAGGGCCTGGCGGAACCTCTGTGCATAGCCACGCCGTGCCCATGCGCGTGTCTGTTCTCCCTCAGGTACGGGCAGCTGAGCGGCATGGTGGAGCCCCTGGCCGGGCTCTTTGGGGCCTTTGCCGTGGTTCTGGCCGAGCCCCTCCTGCCCTACGCTCTGGCCTTCGCTGCTGGCGCCATGGTCTACGTGGTCATGGACGACATCATCCCCGAGGCGCAGATCAGGTGGGAGAGCTGCCCCCTCCCCCATCGGTCCCTGCTCCTGTCCCTGTCCCTGCCCCTGCCCCTGTTCCTGTCCCTGCCCCTGGCCCTGGTCCTGTCTCTGCTCCTGTCCCTGTCCCTGTC